CCCCCCCCGCCCCTTCCAAAGACACGTGTCCGCGAACTTCTCCGCATGAAAGGGAGGGAGGAACCCCTCTCCCCCGGTCAGTCCAAATCGCCCTTTAGTGTAGGTAGGCAATTGGTAAACCAAACCCCTGAAAATAGGCAACAAGGCAACCCACCACAGTAAATCGTCCCCTCCGTTAGTCGGACGTAAGGCCGCGCCTGCTGCAACGCCCCTCCCGCCTCCCGCACACACCAAACATGTGGCCAGTGCCCTGGGTCACAGCGATGGTCGGCTTTGCACAAGCTCAACGGGGTCCATCGTGTCTTTGCATGCTTTGCACCACCAGAGCGCCTGTTCGGTAGGCACGCGCGCCGCGCTCCGCTGCCCGCGGGAGCGGCCTACCCCGCCGCCACTAGGCGCTCCGCTCCAGCTCCCTCCCAGCAGCGGCCATCTCAGTGCGCGGCGCGAGGCCTCCACGACATACAGAGTTGGGTCGCCTGCGTGCAGGTTCTTGCCGCCGTCCGCCTACGCCTGGGCCGGGACCGGGAGCTGGAGTTATTTCAGCGCCAGCTAGCTCAGCTGCCTGCCCGGGGCGGACAGCTTCAGGTGCGGCGGCGGGCCACATGTCGTCTTCATAAGCATGCTCAAAAGTGTCCCAATCCAGACAGATGACTCTGAGCCGGCCGAGCGCCGCGAACCGCCGGATGAAGTAGACGGCCAGTTCCACCCCCGCCGGGTCCACACTGAGACGCAGCTTCCGGACGCCACACGTAATCTCGCGTGACCGGTGAGGCGTGGTGTCGTAACTGCACATCCTCAGAGCGAGCGTGCGGAGGCTCGGCGCCAGGCGCAGCACCGGGCACAGCAAGCACTTGCCTCTTCCCATTCGAAGATTTTTGAAGACACGATTCCGCCAAACGTCCGGGTGAAGGGCAAGGGCTGCCAGTCTCTTGCACACCAGGCGGCAGGTGAAGACGTCCTCCACGCTGAGCCGCGTCATCACCAGGACCAGGACGTCGTCAAGAAGCTGATCCATGACCTGTTGCGGCACGATTAAACACACGGTAAGGCAGGGTTGTTACAGAGTTGGGATTTTCAAATTCCCTGACTTTTCCATGACTTTTCCCTGGCCAAACTGAAGGTTTTCCATGACTTTCATCTTAAAAAATATTTTTAAATTATTAGTTAAAATCTTGTCACGGAATGAATTTATTCACAGGGTGTGCACTTCCAGGTTTTTCTCAGCCGAAAAGTGGCGTTTTAGCTCAAATTTTACCTTTACACAAGGCCCCTTGCCCATATTGATAACTTGCTGGAAGTGCGAGCGAAGCGAGCACGAAAATTTGGGAAATATTCTTCTAGCTGAGCGATTTAAAATGCGCCCTAGATTACCCAGGTCCCCCTCGCTTAGGGAACGGTGCCGACTGTGGCGACCAAATTTCAATACAGACGAAAAGGATTCAAAAATTTTAGCCAGCAAATGTGAGTGAGAGTTTGAGTGCTGTGCATGTGCTTTGATATTCTCGATGAAAGTATGTGCACACATTAATATACGGAAGAATCAAGGGTAATACCCGCGAGCGAAGCGAGCGAAAAGAAAAAGGATGTTAAACAATAAATTCGACTATAGCCATCACCGTAATTAATCACGCGTCAAAATAACCGTACAGACGTCCACTTTTTTTTGGTCATGGGGTTTTCTTGGTCAAAAATATCAAATCCACTCTAATTTTGTGAGTCAGACTGAAATTTGAACACAAATGGCGAGTTTAAACGGCTTCAGTCAGGCGCCTCATTTGGTTCCGCTACGCCACGCCACGCACCCCGCTGTGCAGGGGCGCACCGCATGTGACACCAGAGCCGGGTAGAGGAGGAGGGTCGGACCCGTGGTCGAGCCCCGCCAGCGAGGCCGGACCCAGGTAGAGTTCAATCTTTCGGTGATTCAGACTATATTGGTCCGCGGAAGCTTAGCACGCCAGCAAATTTGCAATTTTCTTATTTTTCATAATTTTCCATGACTCGGCGATTGATTTCCCTGACTTTTCCATGACTTGATATTTTTTCCCTGACTTTTCCCTGACTTCCAGGTTTTCCATGACCTGTAACAACCCTGGTAAGGGTACGACGGGCGAGCAGGGCATTGGCCATTCCTTCACACTGCTAAGGGGAGGGGGGGAGGGGGAGTTCAAAATTACTTTCAGTGGGTCCCATAGGCCTCTCCCGAAACCATCGTACCCAGCCAGAAATGAAAATTTCTTCGACGTCGATTCGATGTCGATTCGACCTCGACACCTCGATTTGAGTGCCAAAATAGCGTTTTTCGAGCATCGTCGAAGTCGATTCGACGTCGATCGAATTCTATTTCTGGCTGGGGTATACAGGCAAGGGCGAAAATGGAGGACACTGATTGATAAACTAAGTGTTCAACTGCTTAACACTTGTAAGTGTGCAAATCCGTAGTTGTACACTTGCAAGTGTTCAACTCGGTAGGTGTGCACTTACAAGTGTTGAACACTTCCTTAGATTAAACGCTCACTGTGTAGGAAGTGCTCAACCGAGGAGTTGCACACTTGCAAGTGCACACCTACCGAGTTGAACACTTGCAAGTAACTTGCAGTTGCACACTTGCATGTGTTGAGCAGTTGCAGTTGAACACTTAGTTTATCAGTGTAGGTAAACGACTCCTTCTACTTCTTTAAGTTTGTTCGACATTTCCGGTGAAACAAATAATGGGACGTTCAACCCGGTCGGACTAAATTTGGTTTTAAAACATTGGGCCTTTACTGGCCTCGCTGTTAGTCAAGTCAAGTAGAGTAATGCCTGTTTACCATGCCCCGCGGGCTGATAGCTGACGGTGTGGCTGCAGGGTTTGCAGTGTGCAGAAATCTTCGCAACCTGGACGCGCTGCTGGCTTGACCCGAACTGACGTACATCTCGCGACGAGGTGCCACCACTAGCCCCCCCCCCCTCTCCATTTCTGCCCTCCATATGCTGCCATTCAC